TGATATAAGATATTGTTCTGAAAACATTCATGTACATTATTTAGTGGTATCAACTATACACAGATATTAAATATTTCTAAGAATCTGACATTTTAACAAAAAGTCCTGCATTATAATTTTTTTTTCAGATGACATGATGGAAAATGAAATCATATGAAAAAGGGATATGATCTACCTAGATAATTTTTGCAATATGAATACTGGAAGAAGAATAACTTAGGAAACATAGTCTAATGAGAAACAATAATAACACTGGCAATCATTTTTTGCGAAAATAGATGGAAAATACAATTTTCCGTTACCAATTTTTTTCAGTATACTTGAAATTATAGAACAAGGAAACAAAAAAATCAATGAAATAAATAACAAACAAGAGAGCGAAGTAACTTAGATGATACATTAAAGTTTTGGTAAATGGTTTTTTTTTGGTACAAATTAAGAAGCAAATTTAATGTATGCAAGGATTATAAAAACACCTAATTCAACAACCATTTACCATTTGTTCAATTAAATATTTATTTACTTATTTAGATTTCCTTTTTTTCAGATATATATTATTCATAGTCGTTTTGTATTTGTTTTCAATTTTTGAATAATCAGATTTTACGTTTAATTTTTGTGCGTCTTACAGTTTCATTTTTTTTTCTTTTTGTAATAAGTATTTATCATTTTATTGAAACTGAAAGACGGGTGGAAGGAGGGTGGGACTCGACTTGCAGCTACCTCCGCGCGGTGAGTCCTGGGTAGTCCGAACATGGACTAGCTGAGAGCTGCAAATTAATCCTTTTCATCTAACATTAATCAGTTACAGATCACTGTTTTAATTATTTCTGTTTAATGATGATAAATGTTGAAAAATGTTGATGTGAATTCTACTTTGCAACCTGTTCAGAAGTAGAAATTGTCACGCCACTATGGACGATCTCTCTACAAAGAAATCAACAATATTCCTCGCAGTCCCTGTCCGCTGTATTGATAATAAACTATAGATAAAGGATAACTTTAAAAGCAAACTTTAATGAAAACTAAAGGCAGTCAGGTAATTTTTTTTTTCCAAAAACAAAAACGAAATGCCACTTTACTAGCAATTTACTATATAATCTTGCCATTTCAGATTCTTTCTACAGTATATTTAAAATTGTAGAACACATAACTATATAAAGCAAAAACAGAGTCCACCTAAATAATATGTACCCATTATTATACTATTACTATGTACAACTACAATACTACAAAATTATCACATCAACATAGTAAAATCTGATAATCAAAAATTTTTATGTAAGTTATTTTAATACACATATACTCCTAGATATAATTTTATATTTAATAAATTTTTTTAGGCATTTAATATCTTCACGCTGATGTTAGATCCTAAGCGAATTATACTTCGACGATGATAGAAAATGCCATTCAAAAATATCAATTGTTATAAAACCTAATAGACTTTACAATGAATACATATATCATTCTTATTATCACTTTTCCAATTTTCTTATATTAATTGTTAGCTGTAAAATCTAATAAATTGTAATTTTTCAAAAATAAATCAATATATAATTGAATATCACTTGTTTAATTTCCTTATCCCTTATACTGTATATACTTTCAGCTTAAAAGAAAATTCGTCAAATTGTTTTCAACAGTCACAATTTTACGAAATATTAATATTTCAGATCACATCGTACCGCTATTAAAATTTATTTTGACAATAGAAATTTTCCATCTGCTAAAACAGATTCTGGTGTTTATTGTGTCACTAGAAGATACACTTACTATCCTCAAGGCGTACAAATTTCTTGTGAATAATCACTACCTAACTTATAGAGTAAATGATTTTCTTTTAAGCAAGGTATTGCTATACCAAGAACGAAAAATCCTTATAATTTTTAGAAATCGATTCATTGATAGTGAAAAAAAAAGAAGTAAAAATTGCTCAAACCTCATTCTTTGACGTTCAGAAGTTCTGATCTTTTTGAAAATACTTTTAAACGTATAGAATTAAAAAATGGTAGAAGGATAGGGAAAGGTAGAAGTAACATACAGTATATAGCATTTAATTAACACACTAAAACAACTAGGCAATTAAGGGCGCTATCATCAATAGTTCCTACAATTGTCTCGTAAAACGCTATTATAACCTTCATTTTCATACTCTTTTCTATCCTTCAAAAAGGTTTATGTATTAGATTTCTACTGTTCCATATCATTGCCAGGGCTGTCCTATTGTGAGGTTGTTTTATTTTAATGATACGAAATTTCAGGCTAATAAAACATAACCTGAAAATAAAGCGCTGACACGGAACAACAGAAACGTTTCTGAAAAACTGTACAAACTATAATCAAATTCAAGCGGATAACCAAATGGAAATGGTATTTACCATTTTGGATTGGTATTTACCGATCGGTTCAACCGAGTGTAATTATCAATTTGGTTATAAGATCCGTGACGTCACGAATCAGCTGTTATATGTCATAGTTATCACCGCAAAATTGTGGTATTTACCCAACTTAAAAGTAGTTTTATATTTCTGATTATTATTTGAAATGTGACCAGTTAGAATTTTGCCGAGTATTGGATATTATTATTGTACTTCAGCTTCATTTTTGAGAACATTGATACAGGCTGACTTCAGTTTTACCATACAGTGGAGCACCTTATTAATTATACTCATTATTGTTGGGAGCACTTTAAATGTAGTTCTTATGCTTAACAAACTATCCTGTGTAGCCATATACCACAAGAATATTAAAATATGGCCATATAAACTGACTAGATGATATCCACCTGTATACGCTTTTGCTAATTTCTTTTTTCATCATTTCTGCTGAATCAATAAATGTTTTCTTTGACACGCGGAAAAATTTAGAGAATTGAAAGTGATCATAGCTTCAAAGCCATGGTTCCATCATTAAAAAAAAAATCTGAAAAAACATTTCTCCCATGAATATTATGACAGGTTTCTTATTTAAACTTTCCATATACAGTTGTAAACGAAAAAGCACCAATTATTAAGTGATAATAAAAATAATCAGAAATCATATACGCGCTTTTCTAAAATAAACAACTTGCAACAAAACCGCGGTTAAAACCAATGCGTTCAAGCGATTCGTGTAACTGACGTCATCTTGAATCATATTATAACCGCGGCACATAACACAAACATTGTGGTTATTCCCTTGGATTTGATTTATGACAATTAATAGGTCATAACAATTGTAGAAACGATTGACACCACAGCCCTAAAACATAGAGAATAGTAGGAGATTAAAGAGGGTTTTTCTATTTTCACTGTCTATAGTCTATATTCTCCGAAGATAACAAAGATACGGACTTGGCGGCTTTTACATAAGAAAGCTCATACCTCGGATTCAAATCTGCAACTGTTTTCATCATTATTCGTTTCCATTGAAAATTTTAGATATTTTAAAATTACTCCATCAAGCGCGTGATACCGAAACATCTAAAACGTACCATTTTCGGCTTTATGACGATCACTCCATCCAATATTGGATTATACCGATAAGTATTATCCTTTTTTAGGCGTGAAAAAATATTTTTGAATAGATTTAAAATCTCTATATTCTAAACATACCGGACTATAATGGTAATAACAGTCAAGTACGATTTGGCAACGTTTCAATGTTTACCCGCAACTAGGCAACTTGAAATTTAGGAGTTTATACAAGTCATTATCGGCTTAAATATGATTGTAAACCCTAATTAGTGCCACAATTTACATGACACTTAATTTTAATCCACTCTAAAGAGACCAAAAGTCTACAAGATTAATATAGCTGTGTATTTATAACAGCCAAGTGGTTGCAACAGTCGTTACAGTTACGCGTATGTCTTGTTGCATACACAAAACACGTTACTTAACCTTATACTCAAAGAGGTGAAACTCATATGAGCGAATGGGAAACTAAGCACTACTATGGATGCACAATATACAACCATGTCACACCTTCTAAAAATTGTCTGATTGGTCAGATTTAAATTTCCGGAAGGCTTCTTTATGGCGCTATACAAAGGGATGAAACTCATGAGCGAATGGGAAACAAAGCAGTGTTGTGGGTGCACAATATGACAATCATGTTGTACCCTCAAAAAATGTGCCGCTTATTCACAACTGACGTTGTCTGATTGGTCAGATTCAAATTTCTAGTAGATTGCTTCCTATAGCTGTGTGCTTTGCAAAAATAACCTTACTTCGCAAGCCATTTTCATTTCTTCTAACATAAACATTTCATTTTGATTGAATAACGTCCCTATTATATTATTTGAGACATGTGCCTTTTGTTCAGAATTGCGAAGTATAAACATGTAAACCCACAGTTCTAATATTTGTAAATACTATAACAAACTCCAAATCAAAACTTTAGTATTGGTAAGATGTTTCCAGTCAATAGATAGGCTTCTGGAAATGCTGAGGAAGATCAGAAATGCAGCAGTTACTCATTTGAGAAGTGTAACATTTGAAGATCATACCTGTTGAAATCTCCGTATAACTTTTTGAACAGAAGAGTTTAGCCACCGGTGTCAACCCCTGAGATCCTGAGAATTATCAGAAGCTCGGAGATTACTTGTGATCTAACCTAAAGGCACAGCTCTGAAGGAGATTTGCAAACAATATTTGTAAGTTTTTATATGACTCAATAACCAGTGATGATTTATACTGTGCTTTTGTCGAAAACAGTTTCCACACTTCATTTCAAATCATCCATTCTTAGAGCAGCAGGGTTGATATGCAAAGCTGACTATAATTTCAATGCCATCCAAGCCATATGTTATTGAACAATAACATGGATGCCCACAGGGCAGTGTCAGATGGGCTATGCTCTCTTTTGTAAATCCACCGGAACTTTAAATACTCCAGTATAACAGCAACTTGATATAGATATTTTGCTAAACTATGATATATTATTATTTTGGGAAAGAACATTAAGTTTCAGATCATTATTTGAAAAGAACTTCAAACATTCAGACGTCTTGTAAACTAAACAATGCCTGGACAAATCAACTGATAATTCATAAAAATGATGGAACAGCAGAATGTATGAAATTTTTTTCTAATCAATAAAAATACATCTTTATAACATAGCTTTCTGAACAATCAGAGAACTACAGGGTGATTCTTAATGGTTGGGGCAATCAATGTGCCCATTGATAATTTTGTACAAGAAAAGTAAGGAAAATTCCAAACTGAAGGCCTTTTCTACATTTTTTGCAGTTATAACTTGGCGCCAAGTTAGAACAGCATTTTGTTTATATTACATAACCTTCGTTATGTGCACCAGTATAATTTTTACGTTGAATAACTGTTAATAATGCTTTAATATAACTATACTATTAAAATCTATATTGTTTACGTATGATGGGTGTTAATAAAATAGTAGACATACTTTAACCATCGAATGCTTGGTCAATTTAAAAACGAAATTTCCATATGAACATGGACAGCTTTGTTTTCAACGCAAAGCATATTAGCACTAAAGAAATATTGATGTTCTAAGAAATTATAAAGAATAGAACAAATTTGGTGTGGTGAATACCACATAATTACAGTTGTTTTCAGATCCTCCACATACGTAGATACGGATAATGTTATCCAGTGTTTTTTGAAAAAATAGCATAACATGATTTGTTTTAATCTCAATACTTTTCATATAATGACATTTGGGAATTAACTTTCAGAAACATAATTTTTCTTTTCATTATGTTGTATTTTCTAGGTTAGAAAAAACCTATGACATTGACTTAACATCACAAAACAAAAAGCATTTACACTGAAAAAAGAACAGTCAGTCCCGTGCTGTCCATAGGCGAACACGATTGATTTATGGCAGTCAAGCGCTTTTTTTTTTTTGGCACATCACCTGATTGCCAGATATATATGCAACGTTGCCTGCTCCTCACTTAAATCTGAGTTTATTATACAATTTTTGTAGAGGACATAAATGCTGTATGCTATATTTTATAACGCCATCTGTGTTATTAACAACGACAGATGCGACGTTTCCGGCTCCTCACATAAA